TCAGCAGGACTCGAGTCTTTCTCGATCCATTCAGTGATGGTGGGATTTTCGGACTGCTCAGCCACCAAGTGGCAGGKACAGAACAAAAAAGGAGGAGATCGACGAGAGGAACCTATTTTTGAAACAGGTTGGGTGGATTGTGTGTGCTGCTGGTGAAACATCACGGGTGGGTTGCACATGACAGTCTGAGTAAGAGTTGAGATTCAGAACTAGAGGTTGCACTTTCAAAGGTGAAAGATTCTGAATAAATAAATAAACTTTAAAAAAGTTTAAAAAACCTATAAAACAGCAAGCCAGAAGTGCGCTTTCATGGAAATTCCGCCAACATTCCACTTTCAGAAATCTTTAGAAATTTCAGAAATCTCAGCAGAGGAAATTCCAATGCCCCAAATGATACCCAATTTGGCACACAGCAACCTTAAACCAAAACAAAACCAGGCAAAAAAAAAAAAAAAAAAAAAAAAAAAAAAAAAAAAAAAAANAAAACCATTAAATTCGACCCCCAAACCCTAATTTCAATTTTCGCCCCATTACTCAGGAGCTGAATGTGGGGTTCCCCGTTAACCACTTCTGGCGAAGATGAAGATGACTCCGAGAAACATTTTGGTCGGAAGAAACCCTACACTTTTTTTTTTTTTTTTTTTTTTTTTAATGCTAGTTTGTTACGCTCCTGCATGTGGCCCGGAATAAAGTCGGACCGTATCACCTATGTAGTAGGGCATATCAAAGGAAAAAGTGTAGGACACAAGCGCCGCTAGGACTGCTTCTCTATACCGCTACCTATTGCCTGGAGACCTAGAGAAATAGCAACGATAAAGAGTGGGAATACTCGAGTCATGGTCCTAGCGGACCTGTTCAGCAAGTATGCAGAATTTATGTGCATTGTCGATCTTAGGTAGATGGTCATTGGTCATCCCAATCTACCTGATGTGGTCTAATGCAGATAGAAAAAAGGGTTCGCTGTAACAAGTACTAGCAACTTGTTCATTTTGTTTTGTGTCTCGCCGTTGGTCCAAGGATGTCTCCCGGATGACATGGCCAACTGTGATCCATAAACATTCATTCGTTGCTGCCAGTATCCCTCCACATATCTATTAACATCTCTATCACCAACTATAGTCAAGGGAAGTCCGTGAACTTAGTTTGCAGCTCAGGGGATGGGACGGGGGGGGGTGGGGTGGGGGGGTGGCGACAGTGCAAAGCAGGGGGCACTGACGTCACACAGGTCGTCGACGATGGTGACTCCACAGGCAGACGGGACGGGACGGTGGCGCAAGTGGGGTGGGATGCCAGGGGGTCAACTCCAAGCAGGGGTGGGGTCGAGTCCAGGCGTGCGCAAGCGAATTCGAATCCTTGTTTTCACATTCGAATCTTGGTGGCGCGCAATATGGGCCGGCCGGCGATAATCGAAGATCAGCGGCCCGGATTGGGCTGCCAAAAAATTGTTCGGGAGGCCCGGTATCAGCTCCGGGGGTCCAAAAGTTTTTTTTTTTCCCAGGCCTCCTTTAGCTTGTGGGAAGCCCGGTGGTGGTCTCCAGGGGTTGCAAAATGACAAAGCGCGATAATGTGCGGCGGGGCTTGCCCGTGCACCAACCGGGGGTCAACCCAGGCGGGGGCCCTGGGATCCAGAGGCCGCCCAGAAAAAAATAGCCCAGGTTTGCGCTGAAATATAAGAAAGACTCTCAAAAAGCCACTGAGCACATCAGACACACTTCAGTTCACATTTCAAAATGATCGAGCATGCCAATAAGCGTCGCAGGCCGTCGAAGTTCGTACTTGGTGATTTTTTAGTGTGGATAAAGTCTTAAGGAATTTGTGCCAGAAGGGATTTCTTGGAACGGGTTACCCGCGTGTCGAGCACCATGGGAAGTCCATTATGCAGAGGGCGACGCTGACGGTATGTCTCATACCATCCATATTCCACCACATCTTTGTACTTATCTTGTCTTCCATGCTTCAAAATTGTTGCCTGTTAAGTTGTGTTAAACAACCAGTACCTTTCCCTGCTTGAAAAACAAATGCCCGCCGGTTAACACGGGGGGGGGAGGGGGGGAGCGGCTTCGGATCTACCGGACGAGAACCGAAATCGAATCCTCATTTTTCTTTGGCGCGCAGGTCGATCTTAGGCTCGGCACCTACGCTACCAGTCGGGCCGCCCGGGTCACCCTATTTTCCCCGGCGGCCCGGGCATGCAAGGACCATGGAAGGTCGCAGCAAAAGAAAAGAAAAGAAAAGAAAAAAAAAACAACCGAAAAATCCGAAAAACAAAAACTATGTTATGCAGAAAAATAAACTGAACAACTTTTGCCTCAGGGTCACATCGAAATTCCTTACCAGATTTAAAATAAAAATTGAAATTAAAAAATATTTTTAAATCTGAGGAAGGTACTGGTGGTTTAACTCAGGATAATACTTCCCTTCTCGCAGATCAATGATCCCGACTGATATGAACAGCAATTCGGCAAAATAGTAAAATATAATAATATTGACCGCAGCGCGGTGAGGATCTGGCCGAACTTAGAACCGGTAGGAGGCACACGTGGGAGGGAGAGACTGACTCAACAGCTTAGAGTCATCTGGCAATATACCAAGACCCGGAAGGGGATAATAGGTGGTTGGTTCCCCAAAGAGTGACTGCATAAGACGGCACCTCACACTGTCAGAATCGGACAAAAGAAACTACTCCTAGTCATGCTGTCCCCGTCGTTTCAACCTAATGAACCAAATTTCTTGAAGCACCAGTACACCACACATCGGTCCGCGGGTGTCAGTATGAGACCCGCACCACTTTGGAGGCCGCCGATGCTTTTTTCTTCTTTTTCCAACAGCGCCCCTGGCCAGACGGCACCTCCAAGTTTTGCTTGTGGCGACAAAACACTTTCTGCAAGGCTGGGGCCGTGAGCTAGCGATTTAAGCAAAGTCTTGAGAGCTAGTGACAAGCAAACCACCGCTTCCAACTCTTATAGCCTTTTAGGCATATTGCTGATTTCACCACCAGGCAGCCCTAGCCAAAGAAGTAGCTCTTCTCAAAGGGAGTACCTCTAAATTAGGCCCCCGTGTGTCAAAGGATTCATGTGCCTCAGCAGCCTGCCCCAGTACCACAGTACCACAGTACCGCAGTACCGCAGTACCACGTCCCATTCTCTTGTGTATCTTAGCGCCACCCTTAAATCTTCATGGTGGTAGATATTGTAGCAGATAGAATAGAGATCCGGTACGACAAGGCGTAGGAACAGTACATGCCCCTGGAAGTTGGTCCATAGGGAGTCGCCACCTGTCCAGTCCCGGGGTCAGTGTTGCAGCTTAGTCCCAGGGAAGGCCCATGGCAGTCTGAATATTTGTCCACTGCGGGATGGCGTGACATGAAGCAGCCCGCACAGGACAAAGGCAGCCTGTTGGTCAGGACTCAGGAGCTAGCTCGTTGTCCTCATTCCCATTCTCTTCTGTATCTTAGTGCCACCCTTAAATCTTCATGATGGTAGATACTGTAGCAGATAGAATAGAGATCCGGTACGATAAGGCGTAGGAACAGTACATGTCCCTGGAAGTCGGTCCATACAGAGTCGGCACCTGTCCAGTCCCAGGGTCAGTGTTGCAGCTTAGTCCCAGGGAAGGCCCATGACAGGCTGAATCTTTGTCCACTGGCCTGACAGGAAGCAGCCCGCACAGGACAAAGGCAGCCTGTTAGTCAGGACTCAGGAGCTAGCTCGTTGTCCTCATTCAGCTCATACAGGAGTGTGGCAGCGTTGTTCAGCGACCCAGATCTTGGTCCGCTGCGTGGCAAGAAAGTAGTCGACAGCGCAGGGTGCCATAGCCACGAGCACGTTCCATTACGCAAATGCGTTACGAAAATCATACTAGTTCCTTTCCGTTTCGTCAAAAAATAAATGGTAGCACACTACCAGGGCCGCCAGGCCCGATTTTAAAAGGCGTGAAGCACTCCAAAAAGGTGAAAGCACGCTCTACCAGGCCGACATTGCATATGCAAGTTTTCGGAAAAAAATATGTCTGCTCTGTACCCAAAAAATATGTATGCTGCGCGGCGCCTCCGACTGCCCGACTGCGCGACACCTGGTTGGTTGTGTCACATTGGTTGAAGTTTGAAGTTTTAACGCCTTCACTGGATCACTGACTAAGACGGGATTAACTCAAACAGGCAAACAATCTCTCGCTACTGTAGGTTTAAACTTTCAAATCTTACATTCCAGCGTTTGATCCTTGTTCAGAACGAACACTACCGTCGTCACCCGAAAATAACGCCCAGGCGTTGTGTACGAATACAACTCCCGCCGGGCGTTATATTCGTTTATAATGCCCGGCGTTATATTCAGTAAATTTGGGATAACTTCTGTGAGGGCCCAAAATTCCCCCAAAAAAAAAATTAAATCAAAAAATTCTGAAAAAAAAAATGTTGTCCAGGATTGGAATGCGACCAACTCTTGGCTGAGGGTCACTTCAGAATTCCTTACAAACTCGGAAATAAAAAATAAAAAACAAAAACCAAAGCCAAAATATAACCCTTGGAAGTCAAAACCCCGTTCAACCCTCTTCAAAACCCATGTACACCCCCTTCCCCGCCCTTTAAACCCCATGTATACTACCTCTTCAAGGCACTCTGCCCATGGAACATTCAAATATAACGCCCGGGCGTTCTATTCGAATACAACACCCGGGCGTTCTATTCGAAGGGGCGTTCTACTTGAAAATAGTGAGTAAAAACGAAATCTAAATCTCATCTTTTTAGAGTAAGTTGAATACAACGCCTGGGCGTTATTTACTTTTGGGTGAAGACGGTAGCAATCTGCTTAAGAGTCGACAAGACATGAAAGTCGAACATTCTTTTATGATTTTATCCATTGATACAGACAAACCGAAAGTGCTAAGATTTACACTTACCAGGCGAATAGTATATACTCTATAACCAACTGAGTCATAGGCCCATGGTTGGAAAGTCTTGAACTCTCGACCCCCAAATCCGTAGTTTGGTGCTCTATCCAATTGAGCGACAAGCACATTCATTCGTCCCTTTCGCCTTAGGGGTATAGGACATCGTCGTTTTTTTCATGGTGAAGACGCACGCTCAAAAATTGTTGGTGCTTCGTGCATGTAATTCACAGACAATCAAATACAGACACACAATACTACGCATTGATTGGCAAGTAGGTCTCACATTTCCATTGCTCTAAAGTGTGCCGACAATAGATCATTCATGACTCATGAGTGAACTTGATCACACACCACCCTACCCTGCTCCTGTGGCTGTTCGCCTTCATGAAAGCGTTCGCAGATGAACAGCAATCGCATTCCCAGTCCCTCAGAGCACTCGTCGTAACCACGCCCGGGACTCTTAGGATTACACTGGACTGATGAGATGTCCACTGACAGAAAGCACAAGCCTGGTAGTACACTACTGACCAGATACAATGGTAATGAAGGTACAAGCACAGCACAAATGGTACCTGCAACTCAGTCACGGGTCACGGCTCAGTGTTAGCACCCACACCCACACCTATTACCTACAGCATTTCGCGTCTTTTTTTTTTTCTTTCTTTTTTGAAGTTTTTTTCAGCATTTGCCGGCATATCGGTGCTGGAACAAAAAACATCTTCTGGAAACCAACAAGAGACAGAACCTCACAAAAAAAAAAAAAAAAAAAAGAAGAGAGAGAGAAGAACCTCAACTCGAGAATTAACATGTCAGCAATAAGAAGAACTGACATGGGGTAAGGGGCTTCCAATCGGGCCCTGACCTGGACCCTGACAAGATGTTTCTCTCACCTCTGGCACAAGCAGACAGAATCTCACAGCAACGTAGTGCCGGCCCACACATCTGGTCGCACCCTTTTTTCCCACCTGCAACTCACAACAGCTTCCTTACAATGCACAGGAGGATTGAAAACTCGTGTGACCAATACGAACGAACTTGGTCGCTTTTCGAGAAGAGAAAGACATCGACAAGAACACCGATAGACAAAACGTACAAAACTGGACTGGGCACCGTCCAGATGCATTGAATAGCAAACAGGGTGGAACAACTCGCGGTTGACTTTGTGAGAGAGAGACAGAGAAAGCGGAATTTGTTGTGCCGCATACGTACGTCAAGGTTGCGTGATCCTTTAAAAACACCTCTCCCTTCCCTCCCTACTCTCAGCTTCTCCCCTTCGACGCTCTCCCGCAGACTCCCGGCGATCCCTGGCCCACCATAGCTTTGTTGTCTGCACGACAACAGTGCCTCTGACATGGCATCCCACACATGTCAATTCCTCTCCCTTTCAGAGGTCGTCTGGATGAGCTGTCGCAGCAGCACGGTCATGCCAGGTCCTGATGGCCGATGGACGCAAGCACAACCCTTGCCTCATAACCTGTTGAATGTGGCATCAAGCATCTGTAAAAGCAGCAGAAGTTAATTGCTCCGTTCCCGCAATATATTAGTAGTGTACGGTATACCTTTTCTTCGCAAGTTGCGCATGGTACGTAGGATGAGATCTCAGGACTTCGGAATCTCTCTGTGCGAACAAGCCGAGGTCGCTCCTTCCAACATGTAAAAATATGCCGCCGACTGCCTTGGTCTTCGCGCCTTTCACAAGCCCAGCAAACACAACACCCTAGTTGAGCTGAGGTGATGTCTGATGGATTGCCAAGTATCTTGATGTATGCTGCTGATGCATTTGGGCGACGTTCCGCTTCGTTCATCAAAATTGAGTGAGAAATGATGTTCACTGCTCAGAAGTACGACTTGCAATTGAAGTGACCGAGAGATCGGGAGTCTACTCCTGAGTCCCTTGCAAGAGCAACTCGTCCCGTCCGAGCGACCTGAAGCCAAAGACGCGGACATCGAAATGGAAACACGGTCAGAAAAATGCATCAGCATCAGTTCTTCCACGCAAGCACGGGCATCATACGCCTGGCATGACCTCTCCTCGGAGTGCTCCTCGGTCGCCAGAGACTCAGGAGAAAAAGAACCCTGAACAGCGCAAAAGTGGATTCGATGAACGAATCAAAATCTGAGATCTGCTGTGAGGATCGAACACCAGTTCTCCCTGCTAAGGCATGTAAATGGAAGGGTAGGGAGGACGCGGCGGCGGAGGAGGAGCAGGAGGCAAATGGTCATTTGATAGCATGCACACTTGGTCTGCCAAGCGCGACAAAGAGACCCCCAATACACCT